AACATGGGAAGGAGCCTGCCTCAATATAGATTTATTTGCATAGAAGACTCATCTTTCCACGAGATCCTTGTCCAAACCAGCTTTAAACGAGCTATCTTGTGTTAATTGTGTGTTCAATTTAACTTATTCATTCATGAAGTCAAGAAGCCTGCAACATCATCTATCTATTCAAAAAGAGTTGACCAGTTAATTAATCTTTTTAGTACTACCCTGATCCTTTGTTTAAAACCCAATTGACTAATTAGAAGAGATTAAGAAAATTATTAAATTACTTAATTATAACATATATTTCATAATCTCTCTAAAATATTTATGTATACAATTAGATTATATATTGATTTATAAGTGAAGTAAATTAAATTAGTTTGGAAAAAAAATAAATATAAATGTTTTAATGTAATTTATTAACTTTTTGAATAGTCCCAAAGTAATCAACCGGTTAAGTCTGGAGGTACTCCCTCCGTTCCTTATTATAAGAGACATTTGATGCTTATGGCATGTTCCTATATATAAGAGACACTTACAAGTTGTCTATACTTTTTTGTGTTAATTTACTATTTTACCCATATTTATTATTTCCAACTCACACTCTCTCTCCCTCCCACTTCTCTTTCTTTTAATAATTTAATTATTCTCTCTCATGCTCTCTCTCCTTATTAATGAGGGCATTTTTGGAAAAAAATTATACTTTTTACACATTAATTGTTATTAACTAATTTTAACTGTTTTTTTGATCAACGTACTTCGGTTATTTGTCTCTTATAATAAGGAACGGAGGGAGTAATATATTGCCAACCTGTATCCAGTTTAGATTCCACCTAACCTAGTCGGCTCTTTATGGGGAAGAGAAGGTCTCCGAAAAGTGGAAAGATACCACAGCCTTCCATTAGTTGTTCAATCCCTAATCATGTGCATTGAATCCTCATCTTAGGTACCTTCAAAAAGGCAAGTAGTAGAATTCGTAAGGCCTCTCCTTGCTCGTAGTAGTGTATTATTAACAATTTCTATGTAATTACTTGTTCGGTTTTTATTGTTTTATTTATTGTTACAACTATTCTGTTTTAATTAACAAAGAACAACATATTATTAACCAAATGTCTTCTCAAATTTTATTTTTTTAATGCAAAAAACCCCTCCTGATTTAAGTTATATGCAATAACTTTCATAAACTTCAAGCTAGTCACAAATTTATGCATGTTATTCCACAAATATATATTATTTTAAAGAAATAACGAGAAATTAATAACGATAACGGGTAATTATTTTCATAAAATTATATTCCTATGCTAAAATTTGAGGGGGATAAGTAATTTACATTCTACTTGAAAAATCGATGACAAGAAAAATACATGATAATACGATTCTTTTTCAGAAAGTGGAGACAATCAAATACTAATTTACTACTTGCTCAAGTTTTCTTTCTTTGTTCTTTTTTTTTTTTTTTATTTAAATTTTGATGGTAAGCATAGCCTGAGGTGGAGATCAAAGGCTAATCTTGGTTATCACAAAGAGCATATCTTATGCCACTAGACCTAAGGCTCTTTGACATCACTCTTGTTTTACAATAAAGCACAAATCGATTACATTTAGGGATGATCATACCCCTCCATTACATTTAGGAAAAACTGATTAAAAAAATCTCTCATTAAAAAATTAATTGTGCAAAATATCTAATGACTCATATTATTAAGCCGTTGCAATTCATTTTCAGATAGCACCACTCTTTTTTGTCACACACACACACACATGTCTATCATATCTTCAACTACGTACAAAGGTGTTTTATTTTGAATATAATTAAAGATAAGTTAGATGTAGTTAAGAAAAAGAATTGCACCTCATAAAAATAGGTTGTCGATGGAAAGTAAACAAATTCTAAATTAAATTTCAAATCGGTATTTCTGACCGATTTTTCCCTTTTTTTGGTCAACGAAAAAAAAATCCCGAACTTTGTTAGTCATCTCAAAACTTGTTCATAGCGTTTTTTCGGCCAACCTGTTAATATGCGTTAGGTTTCACGTGAAATCCCATCCACTCATTTAATGCTGGTTTTATCAAAATAGGATTAGAATTATTCTCCGCCCTCTTCTCCCCCACCCAACCCAACCCAACCCAACCCAGCCCAAAATAAAAACCTAATCCATGTGATGTCACTCATATCATATCTTAAAGGCGCTAATAAATTTTAAGCAACTGAAAAAAAATAAATAAATAAAAGGGCTAATGGCTTTTTCCAGACCTCTTGCCTCTAAAAGCAATCAAAATCTCTCCTCCTTTATTTCAGGTCCCAAAAAAAAAAAAAATCCTTCTTTATACACACACATATTGGCAAAAACCTAGGTCAAATTCCTTATATCTATTATGTCAAATTATTCAATAAAGCATGGCCATCTTTTTTTTTTTTTAATTTTATGTGGATTTATAATTAAATACTATTAAATGCTAATATTTAAAAAATAGGACACATGATATGTGTAATTAGAAAACTTGACATAATGAATATAAGAAATTTAATGTAAGTATTGTCCACACACATATTTAAAAACTTACATGAATGAAACCTTTCTGATATATGGGTTTTGAAACTTCTAGAACAATAATAAATCAAAAAAATAACTCCCCTGGCAACATTGCTTACAAACAAAAACTTTAGGGATAAATTTACAACATTCAGACCAAGATGGAATTATTATAGAACTACTCCTTTTATCGACAAGAACATCTTCCATGTACTGATTCATCCCAGGTGGATGAAGGTTTTATCAAATTAGAGATGGATTGTTTAGTACTGGGTAACGGCAGCAGTGGTTGTGGTGGAGTTAATCTTGAGAGGGTTACAAAACAGAATTGATGGATATGAGGTTTTAGCTGTAAACTTATAGTAGTAGTCCCTCCAGTTATAGCAGGACTTGTTGGTTTTGTGCATAGTATGAAATTTTGTTAGTAAAAAAGAATTAGGAAAGTCATTTTGTACTTGATATATTGATGTAAAATATAATTTGTCTTGTAAGGATTAAAATCAAAATGAAGGCAAACTTCAGGGGTCAAAGTTTGTATTAACCTTCTTTAATAAGAACAAAAGTAACAGATTTCATTTATTTAATACTTTTTTTAGTATGCGAAAAACTCCTACAAGTAACTAATAATAAGTAAGAGAGTGTTAGCACGGAGAGAAAGAAGTCAAATGAAAAATGGTACTCCTCCGGTCCTAATTATAAGACCCAATTGACTTATTTGAGGAGATTAAGGAAGTAAGTTAAATTGGTTATTTATAATAAATAAGTGTTATCATTCCTAAAATATCCTTGCTAATTAAGTATATTGGCTAAAACTATCAATATTAGAAGGATTATCTTGGAAAAAAATGCATAAATATAAGAGACAAAATGGATTGGGTCTTATAATTAGGACCAAATAAAAAGTCAAATTGGGTCTTATAATAAGGACCGGAGGAGTATTACAGCAACTATCTGTTCAAATTAATTTCACATTAATAATATCGATGGCCTTCTTCAATGCCCAAGAGATCCTATTCTGATCAATGAATCAAATTCTGACTTTTGCTTTAGTAAATTATACCCATTATTTAATCTAAATTATAAAAACTTCTCTTTCATTTTAAAAAACTGAAAGAGAAGTGAGGTTTGAATCTCTGACCCCACTATTTTAAATAGAATTATTTCCAATAAAAAATTTTTATATTTAGCAAATATATACGTATATTTTGCAAACCTCTTCCTTCAAATTTCAAGATTTTAGTTACATTTGCATAGTCCTTAATTGATAATTAAGTCACAATATGATTATTTGTTTTGACAAAAATATTCTTCTTTAAGATAAATACTACTTACCATTTACCAATAGGAGTTAGGTCTAGCAGAAAAAGCTAATTTATTATATTGATTTGAATCAAAGTTTAAATTTTTATTCGGAGAGGAGCTTACATTTAATACTTGACAATGTCTCAAACAAGATCGCTTCTAATAGACAGATATCTGTACCTAGTAAATAATATTACTTACCAATCATTTAACTATTTATTTTGCCAAAAACATAATTTTAAATTTTTAATACAAATTTTAAATTGATTAATTATAATCATATTATAAAGTAAGTGTAATTTCTCTAATAAGATCATCAACAAATCATTTTCCCTTATCCAAGTGGCGTTTTTGCTAAACCGACTTTTCCCTCCCAATATTTTAACCCTTAATTCCCACACAGAAAAAAGTGACCCACACAGAAAAGAGTGACCCACATACACTGATACACACCCATTCTTATACGTTCTCGGGGTTTGATTTTGCAATCCTCCATTAAAATAGTTATGGGTGACGGGCCACCATATATGACAACCTCACCAACTTATTTTGCTGGCCTTCTGCAGTAGCTAAGGGATCCCCATACAGAATGGGATTCATTTCTAGAAGAGAAAAAAGAGAAAATTACATTCAGGTTCCAAGTGAGAAATTTTCTTACGATAAAATCCCTCAAAATCTTCAAATCCTACCCTTATTATTATAGATAGATTGTCACTTTCATCATCCTCTTTTGTTGATTATCCTAATTCCTTTACTTGTTAATTGTACCTATATAAATGATCACTTTGTCTTGTAGAATTGTCAAGTGAAAAGATATGCATGGACAGTTCATATTGAAACTTAATTGACAAGTTAGAGTACCCTGAATGATATTTCATTGTGATCCAATTGACAAATAAAGATACAGAGCGGGGTGTCAATCTATATAGGCACAATTGATAAATAAAAAGGTTGGAATTAACAACAGAGGATGGTGAGGGAAAGATAATTGATTCACTGTTACAATATCTCAGTCACAGGTTCCTTAGGATTTAAGATTAGTTTGAATATTTTTAGGAACCTTGGAATAATAAAATCTCTGAATTGGGACATGAGAGTAATTTTCCCGAAAACCAAACACTGCCTCTCGTGTTTGGCCACAATAAATATACGAGCATAAGCAAAGCCAGGCTCGCATTCATCTTCTTCTTCCTTGAGAATCTGAGAAAAAAACAGAGTGGGAAAATGGGTCCATTGGCTGCTTCAGAGAAGCCTCACGCGGTGTGTATCCCCTACCCAGCACAAGGCCACGTCAATCCCATGCTCAAACTTGCAAAGCTTCTTCACTTTCATGGCTTCCACATCACTTTCGTTAACACAGAGTTCAACCATAAACGCCTCCTCAAATCCCGAGGTCCAGATTCCCTCAACGGCCTCTCTTCCTTCCGTTTCGAAACCATCCCCGACGGACTTCCCGGCTCCAACTCCGACGACGTTGTGGACGCCACACAAGACATCCCTTCCCTCTGCGAATCCACACGTAGAACCTGCCTGGTTCCCTTCAGAAATCTCCTCAACAAACTCAATAATTCCCCACATATCCCTCCCGTCACTTGCATGGTTTCTGATGGTGTCATGAGCTTCACCGTCGACGCTGCCAAAGAACTCGGAATCCCAGATGTCCTTTTCTGGACTACCAGTGCCTGCGGCTTTCTCTGCTATGTTCATTTTCACCGACTCATCGAGAAAGGCTTAACACCTATCAAAGGTATATATAAATATATAGGCTAACTTCCATGGTACGTGCTAGCTAGCTTCATGCATTTATTACAACTTGTTTGGTATGCACTTAGATACATTATGTTAAGTCAGAAGTGTTTGGCATGCAGATCCGAGCGATTTAACAAATGGGTATTTGGAGAATTCTGTGATAGATTGGATTCCAGGAATCAAGGAACTGCGTTTAAGGGACATGCCAAGCTTCTGGAGAACAACAAACCCAGATGAATTCATGTTAGATTTCATACTTGGCGAGTGTGAGAGAGCTAAGAAAGCTAGCGCCATCATTTTGAACACATTTGATGATCTAGAACATGATGCTTTAGAAGGACTATCCTCCATTTTTGCTCCTGTTTACCCCATCGGTCCTATAAATCTGCTCACAAATGAGATTATCACCGACAAGGACCTCAAACAAATCGGGTCGAACCTGTGGAAGGAAGACCCAGAATGTTTGGAATGGTTAGATACAAAAGAGCCAAACTCTGTGATTTACGTAAACTTCGGGAGCGTCACAGTGATGACGAAAGAGCAAATGATAGAGTTTGCTTGGGGACTGGCTAACAGTAACAAAACCTTCTTATGGGTAATCCGACCCGATCTTGTTAATGGCGAAAACGCAGTTCTTCCTGCAGAATTTATTAAAGAGACGAGAAACAGAGGGCTGTTATCAAGTTGGTGTCCACAAGAGCAAGTTCTAGCTCATCGTTCAGTAGGGGGATTCTTAACACACTGCGGGTGGAACTCAACGATTGAAAGTATATGTGGCGGAGTGGCTATGATCTGTTGGCCGTTCTTCGCAGAGCAGCAAACGAATTGCAGATTTGCGTGTGAAGAATGGGGAATTGGGTTGGAGATAGAGGGTGATGTGAAGAGGGAAGGAGTTGAGAAGCTTGTGAGAGAGTTGATGGAGGGAGAAAAAGGCACAGAGATGAAGAAGAAGGCACTTGAATGGAAGAAAATGGCCGAGGAAGCCACTTGCAGACCAGATGGATCTTCGTTTCAGAATTTTGAGATCATGGTTCGACAAGTTCTTCTGCCAAAAACTGTTACCAACTAGCCAGATATAGTTTACCATAGTGGTTGGGTTTCCATAATTTCCATTCGCATTTAATGCCAGTTTGATTGTCTTTGTATTGTATCTGTCATCAGTCGGGGATATATATCATTATCATAGTAATCATCTTTGTGATCACTTTGATTAGAAATAATTTCGTCTAATGATGGCAACGAGTTCTAGTGTTAAGCAGAGGTATGATATACGCCTTCCCATCCTTAATATTAAGACTAAGTTGACTAATTGGTGGATATTAATAAATTTAAGAAATTAATTAATTATGGTACATGTTACTTGATCTTTCTAAAATGCTACCTCTAGTTTTTAATATAAAAACTAGGACCTTCATTCATTTTTAAAATATCCCTATTGATTATAAAGAGTTCCTAGCAGAAGATAATTACAATCATCTGATACATATGATTGGAGGGGATGGTTTAGAAAAACCAATACGTATTTATAACAAATAACCAACTTAACTAATTTTATTAACATTCTTAAATTAGTTATTTAGTTTTTATATATATTAACAACGGGATGTAGTACTTAGTACATCATTATCCTATATCATATTTATATATTAATTTATAAGTCAGGCAAATTAATTTATAGAAAAACGATAAATATACATACTTTAAAGTAATTTTATTTTTGGTTTCTTTAATTTTTATAAATTAGTCAACTCGTTCTTATATTAAGAACCGGAGATAATGTGTGTATATGTATATATGATATTTTTATTATTTTCTTAAAAAAGTCATTTTTTTTATTTCGTTTTATTCTATACCACAGATTAATTTAAGCGTTTGATATCATCGTTAATTTTGAATTTTTATGTTACTGTCACAAGACTTTTCATGTTCTAATTAATATATTTATAAAAGTTATGCTAGTAATTAATCATAAATATAATTTATTTCAAATTAATGTCAACACATGGAGAGGGGCCATTCTAATTATTTAAATTTGGCGGTCCCCGGGCTAACCTTCTTTTTCTTTCTGGAAACGGACTGGGATCAGCTTTTTGGTCCCTCGTCTCTCTGTGCACGCACGTGAAATTTCGCTCCATTTCCACTATAACCGATGAAGGAAATGTGATCCCAGTTCACAGGACAGATCAGGATTGAGACAGACCCATTCTGGTTCTGTCCTGATAAATAGTAACGGGATAAAAAATTTGTCCAGTATCCCGATCCGTTTCGGTGTTGTCCTGATCCCAGTCGGGACGGGACTGGGATGTCCTGATATATCTTTTTATTTTTTTAAATTTTTTTAATTTTTTAATAAAATCTGATTTTTTTAATTATAATTTTTTGGGCTTAGGCCTTACAAAAACATCTTTTTAGTTTCTTTTTTTATTTGTTTAGGCACTCTTAAACGAAAGCTCAAAATATTACATATAATATAATAGTCATTAAAAACTCTAAACAAAAGCTTTTAACACAATAAAAACTTGCTAAAAATTCTAATAATCAATAATCTCAAATCATCAACAAATATAAAAGCTCTAAATAAATATATCTATAGTTTCATACAATAGTCTCAAATCTTTAAGAAATATAAAAAGAATGATATTATATATATAGGATTAAAAATTTATAAAAAAAAGGAACCAAGACGGGACCGTGACGGGATGACTCCATCCCATCCTAGTCCCTTTTTTGTCCCATCTTGAAAAATTTCAGGATGGGACGGTAAGGCCGAGACCGGAACGGGCCGACCAGGACGGGCCGGTCTTGAATACCCCTACGAGATCCCAAACATGCATTTCCACCAGCAAAATTTTTCTTTTGGTTAAAAGTGATGTTTGGCATACTATTTTTGCAATCTAGCTTTTGGTTCCACATAGACTTTTGGGATGAAACTGATGGATCTTGCTTTCACGGTGGGAAGAATATCGGTGCGGTGAAATGGGAAGGAAGGTTACAGTATTTTGAGTTTTCCTAGTAATTTTATTTTCCTTACTTTTTTTTAAAATGTTCACATTATATATATAATTTTTTTCTAATAATAAATTCAATTTCTTTATTTTTAGTAATTTTATTTTTCTTGCTTCTTTTAAAATGGTCACATTATATGTGTAATTTCTTTCTAATAATAAATTAAATTTATTTATTTTTAATAATATTATTTTCCTTACTTCTTTTAATTACATTATATATATAATATTAGATATATACTACTTGATAAAATGCATGTCCTTTTAAATCATTTTGCATTCAAATTTATTTTTCCCTTTATCATCCAAACAAGTTTCAACTTCTCGAACTGACTATTTAACAAAATCCAATCCAAACATAAATCACATTACACTATCTGATTTTTATCTAATCTGACTTCTCTAAAAGTCAGATTGAAAAATGTTACTTCTGTCACCGTTAATCCAAACACACCCTAACTTGTTGTGATTTTTTTTAAAAAAAAAAACTTCTATTTACTCTTGAAAAGTCCTGAAATTTTATTGTAACTTCAAAGACGAAAATGAAATTAAACTTTTAGGACAAAAAGACATCAATACTCTTGTTTTTTTTTTTATTTAAAAACTTCAACCATTGCTGCCCGCTAAAGTTCCAATCAACAAGTATAACCCTGGTGGCCATCCACAGTTCTCATTTCTCATATTCTCATCTTAATTTAGAACTACGGCTTACAACAATACATAAGGAATATCTGAATCTATGTCCTTTGGCACCTCCCAAAGTTGATAAACACCAAGCCATTAAACCATTTAAGCGTATAATGCAACAGACTTTGAGAAACTGGCCAAAAAAAATTGTCAAAATGGAAAAATTGCAAATAAGGACCCATAACAATATTAGTATGAGTTTTGACAACAATAGTATGAGTTTTGACAATAATTTTTACAAATCGGTCCTTGTGTGCAATTTTTTTACTTTGGTGGTCTTTTTCAACCATTTTCCCATAAAATTTTGTTATATGTTGTTGTAAATGTGTTAATTGTAATTGTAGATTAGGATGAGAATATGAGAAATGGAAGTTAAAAATTTTCTTATATGTTACTGTTAATTCGCTAATTATATTTGTAAATTAGGATAAGAATACAAGAAATAGAAGTTACAAATTTCTTTATGTGTTGTTGTAAATTTGTTAATTGTGATTGTTAGGACTGTATATAGGTAGGGTTGGCCAAGGCATGACCTTTGCCTGATGCCCAGCCTGAATGATCAACAGATTGCATTTTGGAACTCGCTATCCAGCCTTACTCAGTAAAAGCCTGAGTTATTTAGGACTGGGCAAGACAAGGCTAGATAGGGGTGGCCTTTCTTGCCCATCCTAAACTGATGATGCATTGATGTGTTGTTCATATTATTTGAAGATTTTCACCAAATCTAATAAGTAATATTTTTATTTTTAAATATGTTTTGTAGTTTCACAATTTAGAATATTTCAAGAGAAGAAATATAAACAATACATTACAAATTCATATATCTATTTATCATTCCATATAATTATTATATAATCAAACATAACATGATAGGGTTTCAAACAATATCCATAATCAAATATATCAACAATTTAAATCTTAAAATATATAATTCTGTCATATACGAATATTACATGTGTGTATATATATTAAATATAATTATATATAATGAATATATGTATATTATATATATTAAAAATAGTTATATATATATATAAACTCTGGGCAATAATTATAATTATATATAATGAACATATGTATATTATATATATAAACTTTGGCAAGGCTAAATAGACAGTGCAGTATACCTTGCCCGATGCCCAGCCCAACCTGAAATGTGATCCTGCCTGAAAATGCCCATTTATTGTTTGGGCTGCTTTTTTAGGACCGGTCTTAGCATAATTTCACCGGCTTCAAATAGGTACTACAGGCTTTTGATAATTTATCTTTTCATAGTCCTTGATTGGTCGCCAACACTCAGAGCGTGACTAGAGATATAGCAGCTGGTGATGGTTGAAATTTGGTGGGTGTGGGGGGGGGGGGAAGGTAAAGGCACAAATGTCTTTTTCTCACATATAATTTTTTTTTTTTTGGTTCTTAGGCATTTTTGGTTCTTAGGCATCGAGTGAAATTCTCTCTATCTATATAAAAATTTTCGATGAGAACTATAAAGTATAAAATTTGAATTAAAATAGATGAGATTACTAAGGCACTCTAACATCACTCATGCTGTTGGCTCAGAAGCTTAAGGGAAGCCATCTTCATTATTATTATTATAATTGACATCATAGTATGATACCTTGCTTCTTATGTGCTGGCCAAGGAGTTATGGACCTGTAGGGATTCGGGTGCACGCAAAACAAAAAGAGGCCCACGCCATGCCGTCACCATATCCGATAGAGTCACCGAATATCACATCACGATTTTTTTTATTGTGATGAAATTAGGGGGGAAATTAAATGAAAGGGGCATTTTTCTTTTCTGGCAACTTTTGTTTGCTAATTCCAATTTTATTTTTGCTAGCTCAAAACAGGGTTGTCCTTTATTTAATACGCGTAATATTTTGGTAGCACTTTAAAGTTTTTTTTTTAATTTTAGATGTAGGAGCTAACTAAATGATCTATTTCAATCCTAAATATAAAATCTCAATTCATTTTCTCTATTAAATTTTTAATTTTTTAAATCATCTCTATTGGTTAAAGGTATCAAAGGAATTTTGGTATATCAATAGGTAATTCCAATGCAACTGATTAAAGATAATATTTTAAGAAAATAACACATATTTTTTTACAAATAATTAGTTTAACAAAATTTTTAATATTTAAAAATTAATTATATAGTTTTTACACTAACTAGAATGAAAAGAGTAAAGATATATGAATCTACACATTACAAATTCAGTTGAGCATGAATCATGCTGTGGAAGGTTCAGGAACTTTTCTCTTTTTATTTTTCAACTAATTATAAATATTTTTCTATTAAAAACAATTCTACTTGAAATAATATGATAATAAAGTGTGAATTTTTTTTTAATAAAAATTAAAACTTTAGTTCTTCATTTATAAAGACCAGTCATTTTCATCACCGCCAATTCCCCCGCTGATAGCTGGTCAAAAATTTCCCCGCTGATAGCGTTTCAGGAACTTAATGCGAGCTGTCTCCGCCATTTCTGATGGGCTGACCAATCACTTTTTGGACTTCGCACACACCCGGACAAAAGCCAGATGCACCCACCATATCAAAC